AAGCAGCTGGTAAATACATCGCATGTTTATTTTAGATCTGTGTGGCAGCAGCAATATACAGTAAATAAATCAATAAATCCACTGCTGTCTTGTCTCCTCTGAGGCTGGGAATCTAAATAGTGTTCTGTGCTCGTCTGTGCAGCCAAAGACAGAACGGTTAGCAAGCTTTGCTCGAACTTTCGCCATGGCATTAGAACTGGTACACTGTTGTCGCTTGTGAAATCAAAATGACGGCGCCGTGGGTGGAAGCTTACAGATTAAGGGGCGGTAATATTATAATGAGATCCCTTGGCAACGTCACTAGGGGAGCGAAATCAGACGCGCTTGTTTTTTTAGACGCCTGCAGAAAAAGGCTTCCCAAAACAAAGTTCCTGTGTTAAACTTTTTCACGTTTCCTTGGTTGGTAGATACACCGGGGACCTGATTATAGCACTTAAAAAAACCTGGAAAAGTCCGATTTTCATGATATGTCACCTTTAAGACCCTGGAAAAGTCAGATTTTCATGATATGTCACCTTTAAAGTGACGTTTCCTACAGATTTTTACAATGCAAACAGGTCAAACACAGGATGATAAGTGAAGTGTCGCCAATAAAAATACCAAAAAAAAGATCAAGTCAACCTCACTAATTGTCTACCTGGCTGTTGAATGACTAGCCAGTGATATCTGCTGTATTTTTTCTGTTGATGTCCAAGAAAAACTTACCAATAATCACTTTGTATTTATATAAGTCTAGTATAAATGACAGTAAGAGTATTAATAGTAAATGATTTAGTGCAAAATAAAAAATAATTGTGCATAAAATTGTGGAAATAAGATTTTAAAAATTCCTGCTGCAAACTGCCATAAATAATGTGCCAATTGTTTGAATTTGCAACAACTTTTGCGATCTCAAACTTTTTGAAAGTTCTTTTCTCAACCCTTATTAGAACCTTTTCCACCATCAACCCACATTTTGGTAAATGGATTAGAATATATGTTACCTAGAATATATGTTATCTGTTCGTACTCGTATTGAAAAGCCTTCATGTAAACACCAAACCAACTGAACCAAATTAAATTTCGATCAGATTGGTAGAGCCGCTGTAGATCTAAAATTATCTTGTCAACTGGAAAAATATCATCCAGTTGTAAATGTGCAAAGCATGTAAACTTGTGAATATGACTATCTTCTCAATCGAACATGCATATGTTTATTACTGCTTTATGAGCGAGTCTGTGGCGAAAACTGAATAGTTACTAAATATTTGCACTAAAAAAGCTCTTCTGACATATTTATCAAGTCAACATGGCAAAAACAACAATTATACTCACGATAGCTTCAGCAACATTATCACCAAAGCTTTCTTCCAGTTTTGAACGAGGTGACTGAGCACTGAATTTTTTATCAAAATACATTAGTGTATAAAAATGTAAATGAAAATGGGAGCCAGAGTGCACAGTTTAGAGCTGCTTTAAACAGAACTTTCAGAATATAAAGGTAAAAAAAAAAAACACTAAACTTGCAAATATATATAATACGACATATATAAATACGAAATATTAACTGCATAATATGATGATGAGTTTTCAAGAGTTGGTGTGTGGAAAAATACTTTACTATTCTAGAAAACAATGATCACGTCACAAGAGGCGTTGTACCCGCACTGCTCAAGTCCAAGCGCAACTGGAATCGTTTGGCTTGATGGTGGAAAAACGCTTCCTGAAACAAATTACACACTTCACCTGTCAAAATAATCATATCATATAGTCTGAACGCATGTAGGCAAGATGGATGCTGAAGCATGTGACGGTCCAACAAGCACTAGGCTACTTTGTGAATGAATAGCACAGAAGCCAGAGAAACAGGTCTCTACAGGTGCAACAAGACTTCTCGGCTTTTAAACCGAGAGCTCAAGTTTACATACAAACACACTAGCTGCCTGCAGGCATAGATAATCAGATGCATTACATGCTGATTAGCATAAACGAGGGGATGCTGAATTTATGCAGCCTGTATGTGCAGAGTTTTTAACACATTTGAGCACTAGTCATCGCACACATGATGCTAATCTAGGCCTATAGCATGCACACTGCGATGGCCACTACAGCCATTTATGTGGTTAATGACAACTGAGGTGACGCTTCAGACGGGCCTAAAAGTAACAGGTTTGCAAGCTAATACAACAAAGTACTCTTCTAACTGGGCAACACAGGTTAACAAGTCGAAGCACACAATTATCAACTATTTAGACAAGCAAGCTCACAAACAACACATTGGCATGTCTCTGAACTCGGCCTGGATTGTGTTTGTTCATAATTTGAGCAAAATTCATCCCACTGAACAAAGCAGGGGTGCTTGCCACATTTAAGGCAAACTGAGAGACATCTGCGCACTCACAAAGCACTAGTTTGGCTATTCAAGCGGCCATCCATGGGGTTTTAATATTTTAAAGTATCAAAAGTGCACTCTGTAAGTTTTTGCCTTGTTCTGTAAAGCGACACGGTTGGTCATGTGACCTCAATAGCGGCGCCCATGAAAGGCGACCCGCTCCATGTAAAACAAAAACGCTTTTTCTGGAAAACTGATATGAATATTTGCTTTGTGAAAGATTATTAATTTTGAAAACTTTTTTAAGAAGCGCTTTCAACAAAATCAACGTCAAACGCATGATAAAACATGTTATTTTTGTTGTTGTTTTAATAAAAGGTCTAAATGCAAATGGTGAACCTCCTAAGTAAGCAATAATAACCATGCACATTTATGACTGTTTCATAGCGACCATAAACGAAAACTTTCACTTTCAAGAAACTGTCCTGGGACATTCTCATGGATCTGTCGCCGTCCTTCACGCACTTTCAGCTGGAGCTCTTTCTTCGTGCTGATCTGAAAGAACCCTGAAGGATGAGTGTGATGATGGACAGACTGATGCAATACGCTATAAAAATGTCATCTGGGCCTATTAGATGGACAGCACTTGGATGTTTAAATGCACAAAAGTTTGAACGATAACTATTAGGCTACTTGATTCCCTAAACTTTAGATGCATTATTCTCGCAATGCTAGTTTCATTAGTAACTCAAGTCTATTCAAAGTAATTATTTATTCACCCACAAAATGTCAGTCACCACTGACTTTCAGTGTATGTAAAGACATGCATTGAAAGCTCGTTTCTCCTTTACTGTCAAACGAGTTTTGAACAGCATGAGGGTGACCAGATGATTTCATTTAGCGGTGAAGCGTAATGGTCTGTTTCTGGACTCGTTTGACAGCTGGCGCGTGAATAAGTGTGTTGTAGTGCTTCATCAGAGTCGGTCAGAAGAGTATTTAGCAGGTTTGGGACCTTTTTACCTGGAGCGTCTGGAGCAGGTGCCGTCAGCTTCGCCCGCTTCGCGCTCGGAGGGCCACCTTCCAGCACATTTTCAGCCATTGCGATAAAAATGAGCTTCTGGCCAAATGTTGTGGGGGGAAAAGTCAAAGCGAAGGATCCTTTCGTCAGAAAAACAGATGTTACCTTACTTTTGAAAGACGTGGGGAGTGTGGAGCGGCTCAGTGGAGGATTTTCTCAAAAAAGCAGCAACAGCGCCCCGCGTCGCCACCACCATTCACCCCATGATAATCCAACACCCAACACCCACATTATCATCGTTATATTACCGAGAGAAAACGCCTCCTTTCCGCGAATTCAACGTTAAATCCCAAATAAAATATCCACAGGAGTCCTCGCGCGCGAGTGTCGTTAATTTTGCAACGGCACGCGATCCATTTTCTGACGTCAATTTTTTCCGTGCAAAAATCGTCTGGCTCCGTATTAAAATGCACGGTTGCATAAAAATGTGATATTTTTGCAAAACAGTCCCCTCGGCGCTGTCTGTCCTCCAAAAGCGTCCGGTAAACAATAACGCTCGGAGCGAAACACAGACGCAAGCGCCGCTCTGAAGGGGAAATCAGATATACGAGGGTTTTGTGGCCGACGATCGCCGATTAAATCCAGGATTTTTCGCCAAAAATTCCTTCGCGGCGATATAAAGGTGCCATTTTCCGCTGAACGGTGTCGTCAAACCTCGATTTGGATGCTTCGCGTCCAAAAATAAAAAATAGTGCTCTATCGAAATCCTGATTCCGAGCCGAGACAAGATGGCGGCTGTTGATTCCTTCGATACAAAAAGTTTTTTTTTTCTTTTTCCAGATAGACGGAGCCGAGGGGGAGGGGGAGCGCGAGCGCAATCACGCCCTACGTCAAGCCTGCGGTCAGCGCGCGAAGCGGCCGCTGGAGGCGCTAGACGATCACAAATCTGTACCCAAGTGTCATTCACGCATCAATAATCGTAGACGAAATTTTATTTTTTTTTACAGTCTATGATTGGGACAAGAATTTGAAATCGTTAAGTATTCTACATTAAGCCGGTAATTTGCAATAAAACAAGTTGTTGAGAAGCAGTGCAAATTATATTAATTTTAAATATATAAAACTTACATTTATAACACAAAAATTTGATTTTTTTTTTCTTGTCCTAAATTATATTCCGACCTTCGACCTTCACACACATCTCTTCTGATATTAATAAAAGTATCAATTTAAAACATTAATACGTAATGGTTAATGGTTAATTAAAGAGTCGTCATAAAAATACAAATAAAACATTTCTTCCACACATAAAACAGACACACACCACTTCTGGTATCTTTTCATTGTTTCTCTACTCTCGAAATCTGGCACATGCACATGTATTATCAATTTTGAAACATAAAAATCAAATAAAACAATACATGATATGTACATACAAAGTGAGTGCACTGTGCAAATGTATACAGATTATGCTTTTTGCCTGAATATAATGGCTAATAAATCAATACCCGCTGTGTCTCATGTGCATAAGAACAAATTATTGAAGAACATGTGCTGCTGGGAAAAAAAACAACAACAACAAAAATATCTTGCCCACATTCCACAGCTCTGTCTTGCAGCTTATCAGAATTGTATTTAGCAGGTTTGGGATCAGGCCTGCTGGACTTTTACCTGAAGCGTCTGGAGCAGGTGCCGTCAGCTTCGCTCGCTTCGCGCTCGGAGGGCCACTTTCGAGCACATTCTCAGCCATTGCGATTAAAATTAGCTTCTGGCCGAATGTCGTGGGGTAAAATTCAAAGTGAAGGATCCTTTCGTCAGAAAAACAGAGGTTACCTTACTTTTGAAAGACGTGGGGAGTGTGGAGCGGCTCGGCGGAGGATTTTCTCAAAAAAGCAGCAACAGCGCCCCGCGTCGCCACCACCATTCACCCCATGATAATCCAACACCCAACACCCACATTATCATCGTTATATTACCGAGAGAAAACGCCTCCTTTCCGCGAATTCAACGTTAAATTCCAAATAAAATATCCGCAGGAGTCCTCGCGCGCGAACGTCGTTAATTTTGCAACGGCACGCTTTCCATTTTCTGACGTCAATTTTTTCCGTGCAAAAATCGTCTGGCTCCGTGTAAAAATGCACGGTTGCATAAAAATGAGATCTTTTTGCAAAATAGTCTCCTCGGCGCTGTCTGTCCTCCAAAAGCGTCCGGTAAACAATAACCGCTCGGAGCAAAATACGGACGCAAGCGCCGCTCTGAAGGGGAAATTAGATATACGAGGGTTTTGTGGCCGACAAACGCTGATTAAATCCAGGGTTTTTCGCCAAAAATTCCTTCGCGGCGATATAAAGGTTCCATTGTCCGCTGAACGGTGTCGTGAAAGCTCGATTTAAATGCTCCGTGTCCAAAAATAAATAATAGTGCTCTATCGAAATCCTGATTCCGAGCCCAGACAAGATGGCGGCTGTTGATTCCTTCGATACAAAAAGTTTTTTTTTCTTTTTCCAGATAGACGGAGCCGAGGGGGAGGGGGAGGGGGAGCGCGAGCGCAATCACGCCCTACGTCAAACCTGCGGGCAGCGCGCGAAGCGGCCGCTGGAGGCGCTAGACGATCACAAATCAGCACTGGACGCATTTACGCATCGGTAATTGTTATTTACGTCGAAGACAAAATCGTATTGGGACGGAAATAGTTTTGCATTTTAGCCAATATTATAGTTTGCGTTAAAACAAGTTGTTGAGAAGCAGTGCAAATTACATTAATTTTAAATAATATAAAACTTACATTTTTATATGCTGATAGTTTATGCCTATTGATTTTTTTTTTCTTGTCCTAAATTATATTCCGACCTTCACCAAACATACACATCTCTTCTGATATTAATAAAAGTATCAATTTAAAACATTAATACGTAATGGTTAATCGTGATTTAAAGAGTCGTCATAAAAATACAAATAAAACATTTCTTCCACACATAAAACAGACACACACCACTTCTGGTATCTTTTCATTGTTTCTCTACTCTCGAAATCTGGCACATGCACATGTATTATCAATTTTGAAACATAAAAATCAAATAAAACAATACATGATATGTACATACAAAGTGAGTGCACTGTGCAAATGTATACAGATTATGCTTTTTGCCTGAATATAATGGCTAATAAATCAATACCCGCTGTGTCTCATGTGCATAAGAACAAATTATTGAAGAACATGTGCTGCTGGGAAAAAAATAATCAACAATAACAATATCTTGCCCACATTCCACAGTTCTGTCTTGCAGCTTCTGCCCACACTAATAAAATTCTTTGGTATACACATATTCCCATATATGGCACAAAAATAATTATTACGCAGTTAATAAAAGCATGTGAAGTCAAATTTAAGGGCAGATTTTTAACACTCTTGAGCACCAAAACAAATTGGTTTTAGATTTGCACTCAAATATACGTCTCTTGACCAATTAAGATTTGTTCAATTCTATACAAAACAAAACTGTGAAGCAGTGAAAGCCATGTGACAATGGCAAAAAAATTGAAATAAAAACAACATGATTCTCCAAACCGAAATCAATCCTTGATTTTCAAAACTAAAATGCAGAAAACCTACAAGAATGTGGACAGTGGTGAAAAAGTGGGAACAATCGCACATAGAACAAGATTAAATTCACACTTTTCCATTTTAGTTCATTTTCTAAATATAAAACTTTAGTATAATTGAATCTGAGGCACTTTTCAAGAGTTAGGCCTTAGGTGCTTGTTACGTTAGGTGAAAAAAGGAGACTTCTCATTGCTTTAAGTGGCTCCCTTTCATAAATATGCCCTTTTGAGATATTAGGCTCCGTGGCTGCACACTGATTCATGCACAGCCCCAATAAATACAAATGCATTTAATACAAAACCACATACATTACGCACAATTAATTATAATTCAATACTGTCAGCACTGGGCTTCTTTAGCCAATGGAGTGATACAATAACTCAAAGGTGAATGTGTTGGCTGGAAAGCAGTGCACCATAAAACAATTAACAGCAAAATCAAATCCCTTTTCCATCCCGAAAAGTTCCATTTAAAGATACACAGTGTACTTTTTTTTTTTTTAAAAAGCTGGAATTATAATTCACATCAAAGAGGAAATAATAATATGATACAATAACATAATATTGCAGTTGTTCTGAAAGCTGCGGCGTCAAAAGTCACCCTGATATTTTGACTCTGAAGCAACCTGGTGTTACAATTGAGGGGGAAAAGAGTGAACAAAAAAGCACAGGATTTTTTTTCAATTTTTGAGAACAAACTAGTGATTGCTGTGTAAACAGAAATAAAGAAAGAAATCTGTCCTCCTCAAACCTCAGACCCAAGCTTATTCATTATACATGATGGCAGAAGATAACGGATCCTAAAAAAGGACTTGCTTTGCTTTGAGAAACAAAAATTGCTTTGCATGATGATTGAAATGTAAGACGCATCGTATGAGATACTGCAGATTATTCTCTAGTGTTCTGAATGCATCAGAGACAAAAAATCAGGTAAAGAAAAGCAAAGAAAATCAGATCTCTGCACAACTATCGAAAAAAAAAATTTTTTAAGAACTGCTGTCAAAATCTCAACAGAATTGACACACTCAAATAAAAAAGCTATCAGATATTCTAAAAAAGTAGGCAGAAATAAACATTATAACAAAATTGCAAACTGCTCACCAAATTATGGCAGCACAAGAACCTTCTTCCACAAGGCCATGGAGTGAACTAGTATCACAAGTGCACGGTGATCAATAAAACCTATGGCGAATTGGCGATACCAACTCAGGCTCGTTCTCAGATCTCGATACCAACCAGAACTCGCTGGCACGATCACAGTGAAAAACAACTGATTCTGATATGAAAATCTGAGGCACTGAATTAAATGAATTAAAATGCACTGATAAACAATTCAGCTACAAAATCTGTTCAACTGACCACTTTATTGAAGGCTTCGTTGGCTGGAGTTTACTGGTTATATATTTAGGGAAAAACACAGTGGCGCTCGTTCTGCTGTGTTAAGATCCTTAAATATTGTAAGTGCCATGCTAAAAAATTTGATTTATTCATTTAATTTTTAATCCTGTAGGATGTTCCCTCAGGCAATGAGAAATGTTAAATTGTGGAGCTAAATTTTATGCAAAAAAATGCACTGAACCTCCAAACACAGCATGTTTTCAACAAACATTATACGCTGAATTTCCGAATGCATTACAATCACCGGCCCTTGTGTCCTCTAATGAAGGGGAGAGAGCGCACAGCATGGTTTCTGCCATCTTTCTTGATTGCGATTCAAACAAATAAGGCTGATTGTCCTGTTTTTCCTCATTTCATGAGTTGCTATTTTGCGTGAGCCACTTTTACCTTCCCTTTGATAAAAGCTACATTGTTTGCTGCCAGATATACTGGATATTAATATGGGTATTGTGGAAAGAAGTGCTGGAAGCCCATCTTTATCTATTGTCTTCCTTGGTTTTATTTTAATGAGATATAGGTGACCGCCCACGTAGTAGAGCGGTGAAACTAATACACTGACTGTATATTCATTATAATAACTTAAAAACATTAGCCTGTAATCCTGATTCTAATTAGCAAATGGCTCGTTTTCGATCATTTTGTCTCAAAGAGAGAGGAAAAGAAAATACTGAAATAAATGAACAAACTAATATGGCATTAGAGGTGGAATACGTTACAAAAAAAACCCCAGCATTTTTCACTGTCCACGTCTCTTCAAAAAGCCATGCTGATATATTTGTTCAAACATCTCTGTCATTTGTTCATTTGACTGATCTTACATATCGTGAAGGCACTTTATAAACAAACAAAAAAACAAATTAGAGAACATCAGAAATATTAACTCCATCCATTTCCCCCCGCTGTGCTACACTGTGATCCACACAGCAGATGCTTAGCGCACCCATTTTTCTATTTAGGTCACGTTATCAACACATATGCCCTATACAGGCTAATGCTACTCATTGGAACTCCAACCGTTGTGGTCGGAAAAGCCCCTTGAAGGAAGTAGAGCCTGAAAATTATCTGCGGATTGGCTCTTGAAGAAGGTCAGCCGAGGTGAGGAGGAAATCTGAATCACTCCACTGCCCTGAGCTTTGTACACTCATCTACATCTTCATTTTCCTCTCCTTGTAAAGGTGTCTCTGGTCTGGCTAACGGTGCGTACAGTTGTGTTATTGAGGGAGGTTGTGTACCACTTAGCGATAGTGCTTGATAAGGACTCTCGTAATCCTTTTCTTTGAGCTTGGGGACAGGAGAACTGTCCTTAGTGTCTTGGTGCAACTCCTCTGTAATCTGAGACGGGCCTAATACACGGCCCTGAGGCACACCGTGGCCACTGATAGAGGCAACATTGGGAGAGGTGCAGGGAGGGTTTAGTGGTGCAGCAGATGTTGTTGATGTTGTATTGGCAAGTGTGTTGGACTCTAAATGCCCAACGGCACTGTCCACCTGGCCTTGTTCCAGGCTTTGAGTGGACCCCGATCTGCCTTCGTTCATTTGGGGATACAAGTAAGTCCTCATCTGCCCTTTCCCTTTCACGTTTACAGTGCCACGATAATCGAAGGCGTAGTTCATTCTGCTGAGCACACAGTGGCTCTCTTCGCTAACCTGTATGCGGCACTCCACTCCCGTGCTGTCCATGCGGCTAGCAATGTTGACCGTGTCGCCCCATATGTCGTAAAGCAGCTTGGTAGTGCCGATGACGCCCGCAGTCAGGGGCCCGTGGTTGAAGCCAATTCTCAGCTTGAACTTGAAACCCAACATGTTCTTGTTAAAATCGTCCACCACGCGCATCATTTCAAGGGCGAAGTCAAAGAGGGCACGTAGGTGGGCGTGCGGATGTGGCTGTTCTTGGCACTGCTGCCCATTTAATCCAGAAGCCGCCATGTAGGTGGCACCAATGGTTTTAATCTTCTCTACATTTGAGAATGCAGGCTTGCGCAACAGTTCGTCGAAGTCTCCGATGAGTTCGTTAAGTACTCGGTAGCACTCTTTCCCGCCCTCGTAGCTCTCTTCGTAGAATTCGCTGAAGTTGACAATACTTGCGAAGATGACCCCAACATTGTCATGATTTTTAGAGTAACTCTGGTTCACCTTTAGCTGCTCGGCAACATGGATGGGGATGATGTTACGCAGCAGCCGGACCGCTTGATCTCGCATGGTCTGGATCTTGATGCGATGCTTGTCAGCTTCCACATTTCCGTGGTAATGCAGACGGTAGCTGACCTCGAATTCCCGGTTGAGAAACCAAACCAGCAGCAGCAGGAGGAAGAAGGAGAGCACGGTCTCTAGGACGAGCAGGTCGAGCGCTGTGGGCGCAGAGTCCAACTCACTTGCCTGATCTACTTCAGCACTCTGGTTACTCATGTTCCTGGAACCAAGAGAAAGAGATTTCAGATTTGAGTGGTGTGTTCTACAGAATAATAACACCAACAGTAGAAGGTGCTCAAAAACACCCTTTCAGTTTTAAGATGTTTTAAGTCTTAAACTATGGATGGTGCTAGGGGTGCGTAGACTTGTCACCTTGTCTTTATCACATGGCAGTTTAAATGCCATAGACTTTTAAAACCTTCTGACATTTAAGCATGCATTGACCTGTGATTAAAGGCTGGAATATGCTACATGACCTTAGCACCAATTTTTGCCTCGATTTGCATTCTGGATGAGGTGGCACTAGTTACCAAAATTCAGAGC